CCACCATCAGATCATCAAAGCCCGGTGAAGCAATGTACTTATCGACAGCCTTCTTCTTGGCATCTTCGACACCTTGAGAAAAGATTTGCGTCCTCTCCCTGATGTCCTCCTGAAGGTACTCAACCTGATGCTGCAGATCCAGCCTCAAGTCCTCCATGTGCTTCACCACCACTCCCATGGCCTCGGCATCTCTCTGAGACCTCGCCTGCCTGATCCGTGAAAAACGAGCAGCCTCCTCGGCAGCACGGGCAGCTGCTTCAGCAATTCGCGAAGTCGTCTCTGCAGTGCGAAGAGCCTCTTTGGCAGCTTGCGCCTACCTCGAGCTCCTCTCCACCTAGGCCGCCAAGGCGTGAATAGAAGAGTTCACCTACCAAAAAGAACCGAGTGATCAAAAGAACCAACAAAACRAAAGCCAAAGAGCTCTAAAAAAGGAAGAACACTTACCACCATGGCATGGGTAACGGCACGACATGCACAAAATGGCCTCCATGCTGACAGCACACTCTTGAAATCCCCTGGAGCCCCCGAGCCTGAGGACCCAGCTCGCGTATGAGTAGACCCGGAGTTAGCAGGGGCACCGGAGTATGTAGGAGCCCCTGTGTAAGTAGTCTCAGCATAAGGGACCCCTGCCGGCTCTTGCATTGGAGGAACCATCTTGGGCTCCCTGGGCAGATCTTCTGACGGATAGTCCGATACCTCGGGCTCCGCATCCCGGGGCAGCTCGGCACGAGTTCGCTTGGCAACCCGCTTCCTCCTCTTCATGCCCTGGAACAAGTGCCCACCACGGGTCCCTCGAGAGTCCATCACACCTACGAAAAGAAGTTCACCATCAGTAAAAAGCAAAAAAGACAACAAGACAGAATCTCCAAGTGAAGAACCTACCCGAGCTCAGGCCGGCCGCAATGAGCTTGGCCTCCGTCAGATACTGTTGACACTTCAGCCCAAGCCGCGCCCATTGCTGGAGGCCCTTCGCCGTCTCTTTGTCAAGCGTGACCCCGGAGTCAGGAGCGGCCATCCCCCACCCGGTCTGAAAACGGCCACCCCAGCACACTTCACACCCCGAAATAGTCCCGCTTCCACGCTGGGACCTTGTTGGGGAGTTCATGTAAAAGCTTAAAGCCCGAGAGGGGACCCGCTTGCTTCTTAAGCATTAAGATTGAAGAGAAGATCTCCAAATCCAAAGGAAAGCTCTCTTCGCAAAATAAGGAGATTGTCCCCACCAAATTTCAAATGGAGTTCGGGTGAAGCTGGCCGACCGTCATGCTGAAGTGGTTCAAGACCTCAACAAGGAGGGGATGGAAAGGCAATCGCAGCCCTGCGGCGAGCTGCTCCCGGAATATCACAATCTCATCAGGACCGTGTTCCCAAGGAAAGCTACCCGAAGGTATGAAATAAACGTACTCCCCGGGCAAGTTATAGTAGGTAATGAGGGATTAGAGCCCCTCAGGCGTCATGGTCGAAGGGCCAAACTTGTCTAACATTCGACCCCGACGCGAGGTGGACGCCAAACTACCCGAAGCGCCTCGGCCTACGAGTTCGAACTCTTCCTTGAGCTCTACCTCCGGCTCTTTAGGGCTATCAGGGGATGCAACTCGGTTCGTAGAACCTGCATCAGACCCACTGGAAGGACTATCTGAGCTATCCAAGCTAGACATCGAGAAGTAAGATGGATTCCAGGAAAGTACTCACCCGAAAAAAAGCTGTAGACCACGGGAGCTCGGACGAGCAAAAGACCTTGAACGTGAACTGAAAAAACCTAGATGCGAGCTGAAACTCGGACGCAAGCTCGAGAGAAATACAGAAGTGAGCGACTGGGGTCCCCCCCCCCCCGCTATTTATACTCACAGTGATCGAAAAACGACAGCTTAGATCAAAGCCAATCCGACGGCCCACAGTCGCACTGATCGCACGTCCCCTGAGACCGAGACGTGATTGGCGCACGTCTTTCTGAAATTGACAGAGCGCCGGTGCATGTCTTCCTGAAACTGACAGAGCGCCGGCGCACGTCTTTTCGAAACTAACGGAATGCCAGCGCACGTCTCCTCGCAATAAAAGTGGCAGCGGCACGTTTTCAAATTTGAAAAGACGCCGGTTGTCGCGCCTCCCAAGTGGCGCGCTTTTTTGAAATTTCGAAATAAAGCGCGCGTCGTCGCATCTATCAGCGTTTAGGCAGGTCGGCATGTTTCCCGCCTTTTGGGCGCTCGAAGGAACTCAAGGAACCCTGACAACGCACCTCGCGCCATCAGAACCAAGATTCAAAGTATAGGGCAAATCCACCTGACACCTTGCAAACTCCCCGTGCCAGGGCAAGACCCTTAGCGCGAGGAGTGGGGGGCAATTGATGAAGGAAGATTTGGCCCGACCTCGCAATCACTCCACGTGGCA